TTGTATGTTGTCCAAATAGTTTTCTCAAATACAAGCAATATAAGCCTTCTAAAGGGGAGCCTGTCCAGCTTCTCATTTAATATTGTCAAGGGCCATTCTTTGTAGCTATTTGGTCTTTCCAAGAAGGCATATTCAGAACGGGTATTTTGTGATGTTTGAAGTGATTAATTTTACAGAGCTTACCTTTAGTACAGAACAAGTTGTTGGGCAATAGTAGCAGAAATGACTTCAGAATTAAAAATTAGAAAGACAGTTTTGTGCTGCTGTGTCTTAAATGACCTTTTCAGTCATAATTTGTGTGTACTTCCTTCCCATCGCTGTGTCTAGAAGTTGTACTTCGTTGGCTTAAACAGAAAAGTGAGAAAGCTGTTTGCCTTGTTAAACATAATACACAACACATTATATTCGAGCTGAGCTACCTCAAATCATATATGCTCTTTTTGGTGGTCCATAGGTTTGTTAACTTGACTTGACCTCTCTGATCTCTTTGAACCACTTAAACTGGGTTATGCAGTTTCTAAAACATAAGAATATGGCATTTGCCGTGGGAGTAGCATCTTGACTATGTAAACAAATCAAGGAGGTCTGTAGAACCCCTTAAAGAAACTGATGAATACTTTCCCCAAGGATCTTACTCTAAATGTCAATTTAGAAAACTACTTGTAGTATGTTATCTGCCGATAGCTCTGGCAGATATACTTAATTTGCTTATAGACAGGTGAGAGGTCATTTTCTAGATCTTTCAGAAATATTTGACATAGTAGAACACGGTAATTTTTAAAGCATTTGTGATGCGAAGCTCTCTGATGGTTTCTTTCTCTTTTGTACAGTAGGACACACACAGTTTATCTTGTATAAATAGAATCAGTGATTTAGTATTTGTCCCCTTGAAGGCCCTCAAGGGTCAAACTCTCACTTGTGCTCTTTAGTATTTATTAGGGTTGCCAGGTCTGGGTTGGAAAATACCTGGAGACTTTGGGGGTGGAGCCAGGAGAGGGCGGAGTTTGGGGAGGGATGGGCTTCAGCATAACACAATGCCATAGAGTCCACCCTTCAAAGCAGCCATTTTATTCAGGGGAGCTGATCTCTGTCAGCTGGAGATCAGTTGTAAAAGTGGAAGATCCACAGACCTCACCTGGAGGCTGGCAACCCTAGTATTTATTAAATGAGGTTGCCATTGCTTCAAATATTGGCTATCACTCAGCTCTATATTTAATCACTGTACCAGGAAGCTTTGAGACAAACTTGGAATGGGGGGGGGGGGGGTTCCTGCCTCTCCCCCAAGCTGTTCTCCTGCACAAGAATCCTGCTGGGGTGGGGGAGTTGTTTCACCAAGTTTGCTTCTTCACATGTGCAGATTAATGTAAACATAGAGGGATGGCTGGTACTTATTTGGTATGTTTGTACATTTCTTTGCAGCAAAACAATTGGCTTAGAGCAATTAATGACTAATGCAGATATCAGTTATTATCAATATAATTTTAGTCCAGGTATCTTGGATAGATACCTGAATGCTGCTTTTTATTCCTCTGAGCAAGTTGGTGGCAGTTGATAGTTGGTACAGAGGGGATCTCAGCAGGAGATATAAAAATATGGATTATTGTATGCTCATGCACTACAGCAACATGAGGGCCCCTTTACCTCGGATGCAGGATTACATCCAGTTACCCCAAACTAAAACAGCAGAACTAACCATGCGACTGCACAGAAGACACGATGATGAACTAACCATCCTGTGTGGCTCAAAACTGACAGCTGTTTCCCCAGTACAATTGTACTTGTCCCTATACTGTGAGTTTTTATACAGCCGCTCCACTGCATTTCCTCTACAAAGAAAGGTGCTCTTTGGTGAGGGTAAGGAGACATTTCATTTGCTGATAAGTGAGTTCTGTATATTTGGGGGGATAAATATGGCTACAAATAAGTTAAAGCTATAACAACACTGCTAACTCAGAAGTGTTTGTTTTTGTTCTTGCCCATCAAATTAAATGTATATGGACCAGAAGGAATTAATGAGAAAGATAATGTTTTATCTTGTGATACATGTTCCTTGTTAAAAAAAAATGTGATCCAAATGTGATCCATGGGAATTAATGAGAAAGATAATGTTTTATCCTGTGATACATGTTCCTTGTAAAAAAAAAAATGTGATCCACGTTCTTATTTCTACATTGTGAGTTGCAACTCCTGTTTACAGTCATTGTTTACATTTCTCTAAGTCTGTGAAGCAAAATGTTGCATTTCCAAATATCTAAATTTGAAATGAGGCCCATGCTTGCTGAACACCACAATACATTGTTTAAAGATTAGCTTTGCAAAAAGCTAATAGAGATGAGGCATAGCAACTTCTGTAGCATCTAATACTGTTGCTGTTGTCATTTGTATGTTACTGGTTTTGCTATATTTGCATTCTGTAGTTTTATTGATACCTGTTTTTAAATCTTGTATAGTGCCTCAGATGCCTCCAGGCAATTGTTAATTATAAAGAAATAGGATAAATGCAAAACTGATCATTTGGTAGAATCCAGATAAGTCCATTTTATCATTACTGGGAGAATATTGTTAAAGAATCTCTGTCCCCAGTACAGTGGAGGCGCAGTTTGAAACTTAATATTCCATGCAACAAAGATGAATAAATTAGAAAACTGAAGTCAACACTGACCTTCTTAAAAAAACAACACCTCACACTTCTCAAAATATTGGTGCCCTTATCTCTGATTAAATTAACATATATTTTTGAGAGGGGCTGTGCTTTTTAATGAAGTCTGACTTGCTCGAAAGAGCGCTTCTTGTCACAGTAAGTGTTTAATTTAGTATAGAATGCTCTGGACATTTCTGGCTTCAGGATATTGTGTACTGTCTGCACCTTCATATTGTGCCAGAGTTTTCTTTCCTCATTTTAATGTTTGCTGTACCAGAACTGTGTATCAGCATGGTATGAAACATGGAGTATTTCACAGTAAAGACACTGGCATTTGATGAAGTAGCTAATAAAACTCATGCTTTGTAAAAAATAAAAATAGCCTTTAAAGGTGCAACTGAATGTTCTCAAATTTGAAAGGTAATTTATGATACAGACATCATTTTCTTGTAAATAAAACATTGTATTTAATTGTTCTGAAAATGAATGGTCAAGCATTGTGAGAAGGCAATTGGAAAGCTATAAGCAAGAGAGATTGCAACGTAGGAGAAATAGTCATTATTATTTTTCCTGAATTAGGGTTAATTATCCCATAGAGATGTCTTGAATCATGTAAATCCATGTTTACATGATGTATAATCTAAAGAGACTATACTTTGATGGATCTTCTGTAAACTGGCATGGATGTAAACCATTTCATGTACCAAATGCATCCTGTGACTTCACAGTGAAAGGTGACTACTTGACATATAAAGTAGCCTTGTAATCTGGAATAACAAGCAAGAGGGCTGTAGTACAAATTGGGCTCATGTCACCAGAGTTCAACCACAGAAACCCCTCACAACCTGGAACAGTTTCACTGGACAACTTTCTGCAGATTCAGTGCTTAGTAAAAAGGTTAAGAACACTTTGACACTACAGGAAAGGGATGATTATGTACTCTTCCACATTTTTATCCCATTTTATGGACTGATGGGCAATCCACGGCAGAGTAGAAGACAACTTGCGTGCAAACAAAGGGAAAAACAGACCAAGGCCCCGGTCACACGGGCAGGAAACTGCGAGGGAGAAGCGTGGCTGTTTGCCCTGGGGCAAACTACTGCGCAGTTACTCCATCAGACCTCCCGTGGAGGTCCTGTGGAGGTACCGTGGAGGTTCCATGGCAAGGGAGAGGTGCTGATCACAGGACAAGCCGGCGCGCAACGAAGAAGCGCGCGCCGCGGCAAACTGTTTTTTTTGTGTGTGTACACGACGAATGCGCATGCTCCGTTGGGTGCGTGTGCGCATCCACAGAGACGTGGACAAAAAAAACACACCTTATTTGCAAGGGGACATGGGCGGGCGCCGGATGCCACCGGAAACGCGATCAGACGCCCACCCTTGCCCCGCAGTTTCCGGAAACTAGTACCTCCGAGGTACTAGTTTATTGCCACGCAGTTTCGGCTGGAAGCCTCAGTTGTGCCATGGGAGTGCTACGCTTCCCAGATGTGCTGGTGAGATCGCGCCCGGAAACTCCGCCTGTTTTCCGTCTCACTTGTGTGGCTTCTGTTCCGTGTGACCGCAGCCCAAAAATATTTTTTAGCACAGGATTCTTAACATATCAGGAACCATAACTTCTGCATGCATAATAAACACACATTTAAAGAGGAATGTGAATAGATATGGCTATATCAGCAATAATCTGGCAATGCAAAAAAAAAGGGACAGTATATCTCTTTAAGAACATAAATCTGATAAGAGGAGCATGTGCGTTAAGTTTCAGGATCTCTGTATTTTATTTCTATTCATTAGAACCTTAAATATACTGTTTGATGGTATATTAAGATGATAAAACTTTGTAGTAGTGTATCTACAATGTCAAGCCATGACTTGACATTGCAATCGCTGAATGATATATGTGCATTTTTGAACTCAACATGAATGATAAGATTATCAAATGATACATTATAGCTTGCTCCAATGGCATGATGATTGTTCCACTAATTGTTCAGGTCCATGTGATTATAGATTGCAGCAGCTTCTGGTTATCACAAAATTGCAATTTTTCCAAACTGAAGGATGTGTACAAGTTGCATAGAGGAATGAGTCTTAGCACTTTTGTGCCTTAACTCTTGCCCATATTGGCTGTTTATACTTAAGCTGCCTCAGAGTGTTAGGTGAGACATGAATATTTCAAATCAGGTGCCCTGGGGCAAGATCCTTTTCCTTAGTTTTTGCAATGTAATGTTGATGTTATCTCTGCAAAGTTTGTGGATTATAGCAAGCTAAAAGTCAAAATGATTAAAAGTTAAATTGAGAATGTATTGAAATTATTCTGACAAGTCACGATAAATGTGTAATTCCTTGTTTTCATCCTTAGGAAAGATGTCCAGTGATCGTGCTTTGAGGAAGCAGCAGCAGCTCAACAACCTGGTGGCTTTAGTGAGAAAGCTAGCTAGGCCTGGAGATGTGATTGTGGACTTTTGCAGCGGTGGGGTAATGCATGTTTTCCTCAATAAAATGTAGGCTCGTTTGATTCTGGTCTTTCTAAGTTGACAAGCACTTTGACCAAGAAAGCAGAGAAGAAACAATGCAGGAATTTAATCTGCTTTCAGTCTCTTGTCAGTATTTTTTGGAATAATTGTTGTGAAGTGGATCAGATCAGCGGGATTAATATTCACTTCAGCATTTTCTTCTGTTTTTTCACCAGGGCCATGTTGGAATTGTTCTTGCTCATATACTGCCATCATGCCAGGTAAGGTGTCAATGAAAAGTCAGTACAGACTTTTGATAATCTGGAATTTCTGGTATACAATTGATGGCAAACTTTCTGAAAGTGAGGTGCCCCCCCACAAGTCCTTGCACTTTTCTCTACTGTACAGCTAGGCCTGGTGGCCAGTACCATGCACCTGGGACTGGCCCATCCCAGCAGCTGGAACTGTACATTGTTTTTCTCGGGAGAGGCTGCAGGGGAAGGAAAGCCAATCAAACTTTTTTAAAGCACTGAACAATCCTATCTCTGTTCCAACTTTTAATTGGAAATCTTGGGTTAGAGACTAAGATAGCAATTACCACTGATTTTCTCCTTCCTGCTGTGATCCCCGGTCATACCTATCCCAGAGAAGATCCAAGAAATAAGTAAATGGTGTTGTTCCCTGATGAAGTGAATGTGGTCATACCTATCCCAGGGTTATCTGTCCCTCAAGAGTAGCATTTTGTGGAGATCAGTGGGCTGCAGTGAAGTGGGGGAGGAGGCAGGGAAGTTCCATTTTGCCATTGGAAAATTTATTCTGGATCCAGCCCAATATAATCAGCAGACCAGAGAGGCAATTGCTCTTCTTCCTCCTTTTCCTTTAATATAGAATGTTTGTCAGACACTACCTCATATATTAAGTAGCTCATAAATTATAGCAGCAGACATTCTCCAAAGGGTAGTACATCTCTGTATTCGTTATTAAGAGAGATCTTCTCTGCAAAATTTTAGTTGATCTTATCGGAGCCTACAACCTGCAAAAGTTGACTCTCTTCCAAATGCTTGAAAACAAACCAAAGTTCTGTTCACACATTGCTTTGGGATCTGGAATTTGTTCTTTTCCACAATTAGCCCCCGTTGCCGTCAAGTGTGTTTCTGGAAATTCATGAAATAGACATTAGCAAATACCACTAGTACTCCCCCCCCCTTGTATAAGAACTAACTCTGGATACTTATAAATACAGTGGGTTGGGTCCTACAGCTCCCTTCTGCTAAACGAGGAGTCTTGCTTTGACAGAAGTAGTCCTTTCTTAGTAACAGGAAGGCAACCCTGTTAGAAGTGGCATGCATGAAAAGTTGTACATTTTTGGCTAAAAGATCAGGTCAGGCAGAATTTAACTGTACCAATGGCTAGATTGATACAGATGTTTAGGATGTTTAGTGTGTGTGTGCGTGCGCGTGTGTCTCAAAATTATCAGAGTGATATTTTTAAAATTAAAAACTGACCATAACTAATTATTGTTTCTGTGAAGCGTAGATAGTATTGGTAGAAAATAAAGAATTGTCGCTGATACGTGCTAAAGAAAGAAGTGATGAATTGGGATTAAACAACATTTGGTTCATCCAAGCAAATATGGACTATTTTAAAGGAATTTTTAATATTGGGGTAAGTAATTGTGAAATGTTAATGTCATGCTTTGCGAATATTTTAAAAATCAAAATACTTTAGCCATTGCTTAATGTGAAAATGTACATTTCTTTCCTGTAAAGCCCGTTATTGTTGATGGCTCGGAGCAGTGGTGCTCACTCCACAGCTCACCAGGGGTGACATTCATAGTTACATGAACCAAAGTTGCAAAATGACTACTATATACCCTGTGCTCCCCCTGAATCACAAACATAAGAGAGAAAAACCAGTATTAAACATATAACATTTTTAATGTTCAGGGTACCTGTGAGAAGGTAAGGTTGTCTTTCCCT